AAAAATTTTTTATTAGAAAAAAATTTGTTTTTTTTTAGTATTAAGGCAGTTTTTTAGCTATTTGTTTTTATTCAATTATTAAATTAACTTATTTATCATTTGATAAACTATCTTAGAGATAGTTCATATAGTATATATATTGAGAAGTATATACTAATCATATGTATAACTTTTGGTTGTTTATTTAAATAATTTGCTTATTATTATTATTAGTAAAAAATATATACAAAATATTGCAAAAGAATTTGTAATACTAAAATATTTTGAAATTATTATAATTGATATAAAATATTTTAAAATAAATAATTTTAAAAAATTTTAAAAAATATTTCAAAATATTGCAAAATAAAATAGCAAAAGTTTTAACAATATTAATATTAAAATAATTTCAAAATATTTTAAAATATTTCAGAATATTTTGATAAAATTTAAATTAATAAATATATATAATATTGGATAGGACTAATCAGTACCCTGTGCACTCAGTACCCCCTATTATAAAATTGCTAAATATTTCAAAATTTTGACTAAGTAACCCTGTCATATAACATAAGCAAAAATGTTTCTCTCACAATTTTACCTTACTTTAACTCTAAACCTAACTCTAATTCTAATCTAATCTAACCTAATTATATTGCAAGCTCAATTTTGCTATGATTGCACAGGGCACTATTTAGATTTTTTCTATAATATTAACTTTAATATATACAAATCTTATAATTTTATTTATTTTAGCATATTTTAATTTTTTTAAATTATTTTAAATTATTTTATTTTACTAATAATTTTAATTTTTTTAAATATTATATTTTTATATATACAAATATTAATATTTATTATATTTTAAAATATTTTAATTTTATTCATTTTTAATTTATATACAAATCTTTCAAATTTCATTAAAAATTATATATAATAAGCAAAATTATTAATTTTTATTATTATAATATATAAAATAAAATAAAAAAAAACAAAAAAATTTTTATATTGATAGGTTCTTATTTTCTTCAGATATTTTCTAATTTTTAAAAATAAAATAAAAGAAAAAAAAAAGTTATTTATATAAATAAATAAATAATTTTACTTATTATTTCAAGTTTTTGCTTTTTATTAGATAATTTTAAAATATTAGTATTAATTTAAATCATTTTGAATTATTTGTTATATTAAAAAAAAATAAAAAAAATAAAAAAAAATAAATTATTTGTTATATTTGAATATTCTATATAATGTTTTATAGCTTTATTAATTATAGAGACTATTAATACTACCTTTTATTTTGTTAATACTACCTTTTATTTTGTTAATACTATCTTTTATATAACTTTAACTGGTCTAAAATCTTAAAAATTCTATAAATAGTATTTAGAAATAGTATAAATTTATGTAATTAGTTAGCAGTTAGGGTAAGCATTGTTTATAGAGTTTTTAAAAAGATTAAAAGTTAATTAGAATTATGTAAAGGGTAGTATTAACAAAAATAGAGGTAGCAATAACAGTTTTCTAATTATATATTAGGATTTTTTAACAATTCTTAGCTTCTCTTGGCCTTTTTCTTGTCTAAAAAAATTTATTAATTATATTTAAAATTAAAAAAAGTATTATTTTATATTTGTAAAATTAATATATATATTTTCAGATAATTGCAAAATTTCTTTATATTTTGTGTCTTTATTTTAATATATTATAATTATCGAATTATATTAGTTACTGAATAATATTATTAATATTTATATTTTGTAAAATGATTTATATTTTTTCAAAATCTTTTGGCTTAAAATCTTTTGAATTTTTACTTTTTTAGAGTTTGAAGTTTCTTTTTCTAAAATGGTAAAAAAAATATTTTATGAAATTGAATTAGAAATTCTCAGAAAGAGATCTAATTATGAAGCGTAAGTACTATATATAGCAGTGATACTACAGAAAGTTAAAGTTACTAAAGATCATGCAAGTAAGTTCTTATAGACAGACAGTACTAATATTCTTATACTTCTAGTTTAAGCAACACCAATATTTTTGCACCCAACTTGTAGAAAACTTGATTGGAAAAATAATCATCAGATTGCATATATAAGTTTTAAACTAGTATCATAGTACTAGATTTGATTAGAAGAGTGATACAACAGTAACTAAAATTGAAGTAATAAGAGAAGCAGTGAATATGAGAATGGTCTGTAGTAAAAGATTAGCTTTACCAAATTTGAAAACATCTTTAGCATATGCATGAAAGGCTAAAATTAAAAGGTTCTAAATATAGAGAGATGGTTCTTATTTAGAAAATATATAAATACTTGAAATAGCTAAGGTATACTGAGCTGGTAGTACTATATACAAACAGATATCAAAAGCATACCAACTTTAGAATACCAACCAAGTTGAAATACTCAAGTTAGAAATAATCATAATTATGAAATTCTGTTGAGTATAACACTTAGATATTATACAACATAGCCATATCTAACCAACTGCAAGAGTGTTTGATAATATGAATTAGATAGTTCACTATTTATAGTATATTTATAGTTTAAGTCTCATTCTTGTAAAAAATTTGTAAACAATTAGCTATGGCCAGAGAGTCTTTTTGCAGATTCTCAATACAAATTATTAAATAAAGATAAAAACAAAATCTTATCTTAAAAAATTAAAAATTAAAATGTATCTAATAGTAGTAAATATGATAAAATCAATTTAATAGTTTTTGAAATATCTTTAAAAATATTTTTCTAATATATAAAATTTTTTTAAATTTTTTTTTAAAAAAGTTTTATATATTAGTAAAATATTTTTTAAAGATATTTTAAAAAATACTAAACTAATTTTACTATTTTTACTATATATATTAATAAAATTATTTTAGATTATAAAGTATAAAATTAAAATTTAAAAATAAAATTGTTTGATCTATTTTACTTAAAAAACAAAATTCTTAACACTTTTTTTAAAAAAACAAAATTATAAGAATCATAACTACTAGAATGTAGAATAGGCTGAACTGAGCTCAGAAATTTGTGAGCCAGGCTGGGTTTGGGCCAGGTTTGGGTTTTAATTTTATAATATAGGCCAGGTATAAATTTGGGTCTGCAAACTATTAGACCAGGTTTGAACTTTATAAATATATCTAATAATACTTGCTAAACCTGATAATACAAAAGTAATCAATTAAAATTAGCAAACAAACTTCAATACAATTATATTTTTAAGAATTAAATGATGGTTTAGTTGTAGCAAACCAATTGTTTTAAAATAAATTTTTTGATCAAATTTAATTTTAATGACTAATCTTTTAGATAGAGTTTTTAGAAAAAATTATATGATTAAGTATTGTGATTGTCCAATAATTTTGCTCAGAGTATTTGAGTACCATTAAAAAAAACCTACAATCTGATTTTTAATTATATTTTGTATACTATTGACTATCTATTAACAATCTATTATCAAACTTTAAATTATATTTTGCATAATAGATTGTCAATAAATAGCTAACTATGCACAAAATATTATTAAAAATCAGATTGTAGGTTTCTTTTAATAATACTTATTTAATCTTTGGTCTGGGCCAGACTCAGGCTAGAGCCTAATTTAAAAAAAAAACTTGACCCAGTTTCATATTTGGGCTTTTTATTAGGCTTGGGCCTTGATTGGGCTCAAAATTTTTTTTTCAGATATATTTTAGATCTATAAAAACCTGGCCCATTTCACACCCTAATAACTACATAAATTAGATTTGCTCTTATATATAAAAAATTTTAATTTGCTCTAATAGAGATAAAATAGGATTTTCTAAAAACCTATTTTGATGATATATATAATTTTTACTACTATTAGATACATATTAATGAGCTCTATAACTTTATTTAAAACCTCAAAAGCAGTTTACTTAGTAAAAAAAGGTTTAGATTAATATACTACATATTTATTTTTGAAAATTTTATATATAAATCTTGTATAACCTATATCACATAGCTTTTTAGATGACAAATAAATTATCTATTAAAGTTTTTAAATTATTTATCATAGTACACTAACCAAAGTATTTCTCTTTTTTAATATTTTCTTTTGCAAAATACTTGATATAAAACATAAAATTTCTATTAATTAAATATAGGTTTTTTTTAAAAATTTTAGACTGTTTATCATAAATGCAGAATATGTATATAAATGAAATTTCTCTTTCTTGCAACACAGACCTATTGCTGTATAATATACCCAGGTTCTTTGTAAGTTTTTTAACAGGTATTTTGTATTATACCCGGGTTTTTTGGTCAGTGCACTACGGTAAATTAAAAATTTGAAATAATATAAAATCATATTAAAATACTAAGAATATACTGTAAAATTAGTATTAGAGTTTGAATAAATTTTATAAAGATAAAATAATTATTATATAGGTCACAGCCAAATCCTAGGCATAGGAGACCCAACTTTATAATCAATTAATATTTTATTAAAGGGTCACCTATACTGCTAACATTTTATATTCGGTATTATATGTGAGAAACTCAGATTGTTTACCTCTATCCAAATTACCCATCACTACTCAAAGAAGCTCTTATAGGTAATGCGTATTTCATATTTAATCATATGAAGTATATCATAAGTTTAATCAATTGACAAGATAAACAATACGCAGCTATGTACTCTAATTGTGTAAAATGTCTTCAGTGTTGTGAAACGATAAATCACCTTTCATGCTTAGTAAAAATTCCGAATCCGTTTGCATATTATTATGTAGATAAAAAAATTTTTTAGCATGTAAATTTTTACTGGGTATTCGGGTTGTGTGCCAATAAATTTTTTAAATAAAATTTTTTATTAAAAAATATATATATATTTAAAATCGTCGCTGGGTCATTAAAGGTTAGTTGGTGATATGAAAACCGATAGTATAAGTTTGTATGACCTTATTAAAAATTAAAAAACTTTTTAAAATTAAAATCCGGGTCGGTGGATCACGAGAGGTTGATGAAATGAAAACCGAAAATATAAAAATTTTTTATACATCAGATGACTGAATCTATTTCTGAATTTTGATGAAAAAGAAAATACTTTTATATGGTCTTATCTAAATTTCCGAAAAAAATAGCATTTCCTTGATCAAGTTAATATGGCTATAAACTCGATTGAAATTCACTAGCTTTAGCTCTAACTTTATATAAATTAATATTAGACTTTATACTTCATTATTGGCTGTAGAGACAAAGTATTTAAATAGATAAATTAAGATTATCTTTATAGGTTAGTAAATTAAAATTATTAAATACACATTAAATACACATTAAATACATACGTGAAGTATTATTACAATTGTCATCAGAAATCGAAAAATCGAGAGTGGTAGAATCTAAAAAATCAAAAAGTAAAATTTTACCGATTAAAATTGAACATATATATGATAATAAGAGTAAATTATTTACCATAAATCTTTAACAAATTTGCAGGTGAAATAAATGAAGAATTAATTGGTTTAGAAAGGTTTTTAAAGTTAAGCAGTTTACTTGTAAGTTTATCTTTAGGGCAAACTGGCAGTTCGGTTGACAATGCTGGAATAATTGCATCTGCAGACTGGAATGCTTTTAATATTGCTAATTCATTCTTATTTGTCGCACTACTATTATCTAATATCTTATACCATCCTGATAATTCTTCGTAAATATCAGATGCAGTTGGCCTATTAGAAGGAATAGCATCCATACATTGATTCGCTAATTGGATATAGCACTCAGGAGTGTC